AAAAATGGAAAGAATCTTAGCGTCTAGTGGGATGTCCGTTTTTTTTAAGATCTCGTAAGAATTTTTTTGAGCCTTTGTGTTTTTTTTTCTTAAACAATTCCAAAGAATTTTATTTTGAGGATCCTTGGCACTTTGTTTTTGAAAGAATTCGAAAAAATTTTGTGACCCCTGGTGTTTTATTTTGAAAGAATCTGAATCTTGGAGGTCTCTGGTGTTATTTTTGAAAGAATTGTAAGCCATCTTGAAGACGCCTGGTATTTAATTTTTTTAAGATTTCAAAAGAATCTTGGACGCGCTTGGTGTTTTTAATAGTTTCTATGAATTTTGAATCCCTCTGGTATTTTTTTTAAAGAATCTCAAGGGTTCCTGGTGTCTGATTTTTTAAAGTATTCGAAAGAGTCTTGTGAGCCTCTGGCGTTTTATTTTTGAAAGAGTTCGTGAGAATTTTCAACGGATTTTTATTTTTCTTAAAAAAATCCAAAAAGCCTTGGAGATTCCTAACGTTTTATTTTTGAAAGAATCATAAATAATCTTCGCGAGTCTTGGTGTCTCTTTTTTAGAATTCCAAAGAATCTTGTGGACTCCTTGGTGTTTTATTTTTGAGAGAATTTGCAAGAATCTCGGAGATTTTTGGTGGAATTCTTGAACGAATTGCAAAACATTTTAGTCACAAGCTATTTATTCAAAACTTCCTTTGCCCCTGGAGTACAATCCAACAAATCCCGCTTCTTCGAAAAATTATAAAATATGATTCTGCAAAATTTTATTTTTTATGTTAAACTTGAGAGTCCTGGTATTTTATTTTTTAAAGAATTCGGAAGAATCTTGGGGGCCTTTGATATTTTTTTCTTAAATATTTGGAACAAATTTGGGGTACTCCTAGTAATGTTTTTAAAAAACGTCCAAGAATGTCGAGGGTTCCTGGTGTCCTATTTAAAAAAAAAATTGGAAAGAATCTTTAGTATCTAGTGTTTTATTTTTGAAAAAATTTTAAAAAAATCTTGTGAGATGTCTGGTGTTTTCTTTTGAAAGAATTCGTAAGAATCTTTTTTAGCCTTTGTGTTTTTTTTTCCTTAAACAATTCCAAAGAATTTTGAGAATCCTTGGCATGTTGGTTTTGAAAAATTCGAAATAATTTTGGGAGCCCCTGGTGTTTTAATTTTGAAAAAAATCTGTAAGAATCTTGGAGGTCTTTGGTGTTATTTTTGAAAGAATTGCAAACCATCTTGAGGACGCCTAGTGTTTCATTTTTTAAAGAATTCAGAAAAATCTTTGGCGTCGTTCGTGTTTAATTGTTTCTATAAATTTTGGGTACTTCGGGTAATTTTTTTTAAAGAATATTAAATAATCTCGAGGGTTCTTGGTGTCTTATTTTTTAACGAATTCGACACAATGTTGGGAACTTCTGGTGTTCTTGTGTTTTCTTTTTGAAAGAATTTATAAGAATCTTCTGACGCCATTCTTGGAGACTGCTAACGTTTTATTTTTGAAAGAATCATAAAGAATCTTCGGAAGTCTTCCTATCTTTTGTTTGGAATTCCAAAGAATTTTGTGATCCCCTGATGTTTTATGGTTTAAAGAATTCGGAAGAATTTTGGACACCATTGGTGTTTTTTCTTCTTAAAGAGGTAGTATAAATTTTGGGTATTTCTGGTATTTTTTTTAATCTCGAAGGTTCCTGTTGTCTTATCTTTTGAAGAATTTGAAAATCTCTAGTGTTTTTTTCTTAAATATGTAATTAGAACAAATTCTGAGTACTCCTGGTAATTTTTTTAAAGAACCTCGAAGAACCTCGAGAATTCCTGGTGTCCTATTTCATAAAGAATTCGAAAGAATCTTAGGATCGTAGTAGTGTTTTATTTTTGGTAATCTTTGTATTTTTTTTTTTTTTGTTAAATAGTTCCAAAGAATTTTGAGATTATGGGTATTTTGTTTTTGAAAGAATTCGAAACAATTTTGGGAACCCCTGCTGTTTTACTTTTGAAAGAATTGCAAACCATCTTGAGAACGCTTGGTGTTTCATTTTTTAAAGATTTCGCAAGAATATTGGGCGCATTTGGTGTTTTTTAATAGTTGCCCTAAATGTTGGGTGCTTTTGGTAATTTTTTTTAAAGATCCCAAGGAATCTTGAGGGTTTTTGGAGTCTTAGTTTTTAACGAATTCGAAAGAATCTTGGGAACTTTAAGGGCCGGTTTATAGAAGCGCGAGTTAAATATTTAATCCTCGATTAATTTAACACTGGATTAAAATGTGGAATGGGAGCTCGTGATTGGTTAAAACCTGCACGTCGCCTAGCAACGAACCTCAATTAAAAGTTAATCGCGAATTAACTTTAACTTCGGTTTCTATAAACCAGGTCTAGGACCCTAGTGTTTTATTTTTTAAAGGATTAATAACAATCTTCAGAGGTATTGGTTTCTTTTTCTTAAAAAATCCAGAAACTCTTGGAGACTCCTAACTTTTTATTTTTGAAAGAATCTTCGAAAGTCTTTCTACCCCTTTTTGTCCTGGTGTTTTATTGTTTAAAGAATTCGGAAAAATCTTTGGCATCCTTGGTCTTTTTTGGGTATTTCTGGATTCTTTTTTAATTTCGAGTGTTCATAGTGTTCTGTTTTTCAAAAAATTTTAAAGAATCGTGGTGATCCCTGATAATTTATTTTTGAAAGAAATGTTTCTTGGAAGTCGTCGGTGTTTTTTCTTAAAGAATAGAAAGTATATTTAGGGCCGGTTTATAGAACAGCGGTTAAATATTTAATCCTCAATTAGTTTAATAGAGAATTAAAATGTGGAATATGAGCCCGTGATTGGTTAAAATATGCGCGTTGTGCAACAAAAAAACAACATAAGCATAAAGAAGTAAAGAAATTTTTGGATGAGATAAAAAAAGAAACATATACTAAATAAATTATTACTTTGTTACTAAGAAATTACCATCCCTCTAATGCAGAATCTGATAGCTGAACTTTTTAAGTGTAAAACTGTAAATGTCAAAAATTCTTACGTCTCTGTAATTTAACAATTTGGACTTTTTTGATGTGTATTTTTATTCCAAGATAAGAGGAATATTTTCGTTGCTGACTATCTAAAAATTTTTTGACCATATTATAAAAAATTATCTGTTTACGGAGTTCGTGACTCGTCTCAGTCAGATTCAGTTTCTCGGTTTTATAATATTTTGTGGAATTATCTGGTTGAGTGAAGTATAGTTTCAGTTTTGAGCTAGTGAATATTCGTCAAATTATTTGTGATAGATTTATAAGGCAAATAAGTCACTAATTATTTTAATGTAAACTCCAAAGATTCAAAATTTCCATACTGCAATAATTCTTAAAACGTAAACAAAGTCTCAGCTGATATTTTGTAAAGAAAATGATTTTAGGGGTTTCTGAAAGGAATGCACTTAGCATAGAAATTTTTTAACAAAATTGATTGTAGCATTTCGATTTCGATCAAAAACCAATTTCTTAAATATAAACCATCAGATATATTGAAAAAATATTGTTTTCTATTTACACTGTCACAAAACTGACATGCTCAAGCTGAATTTAATGACTTTGCTTTCTCCTTTGTGGAAAAAGCTGCTATTTTAATCCACGGTTATTAAGGTAAACAACCTGCAGTAACTTTTCTTACAGTTTTTGTAACCTAATATTTTGATTTATTAATGTCGTGTTTCACTAAATTTATTCATTCCCTTACCTCACGATCAGTCGATATGAATAAATTGAAGTAAAATTATTGCAATGCTTCTTAGAAGTAAGTTCCAGTACATTTACTAATCAATAATGATCCCGAAGACATTACGAAACAATCTTGCTAATATAAAATTCTTCAGTCATAACAGGAGCTTGAACGTCTTGTTTACCTAAAAACACCAAAATGCGTAAGTTATATAATTTTCATTTTTAAACTCCCTGCAAATTATCCACCGCTTAAACACTGATAATTAAAGACGAATATAACGATCTAATTATATACACTGTTATATAAAACAAATAACTGTTCCAGACCATTTTATTTAACACGCAAACCATTGTAGTAAAACATTTACTATTATTAGCACAAAACGGTCCATCATTTCCTACAAATTGTTTTTTAATTATATGCTTTTTTAACAGCCAAAATGTATGTGCCGACCTATTTGTAAAACTAACCTACATCAACTTTATATATAAGCTATAAAAAAAGGCATTTTGTTTTTGAATCCGGTACTCCAGGTATAGACTCTTATCTTATATATTTTTTTGAAAGGTTGTAATGACTAAAGTTGCAAATTATTATTAATCGATATACCTTTTTTTCAAAAAAAAAAGTAAAATAAACTTATATTTTTGGTGGTGTTGTTACTTCGAAATTATAATAAGGTCGACCTTACCTGCAATGGTAGTTTATTTAGTTACAACATTTACATAATGCTTGTTACCAAAGCCGTCTATTGTGAATTCTTAAAACTATTTTATTTCAAAATTAATTTTTATGACCGGAAGTACAGAGTCTTATGTGTCACAAGACTAAATCATCTCTTAATGTTTGGTGTGATTACTGGCTTCGACCTTGTTCTAAACTTCACACGCCAAACTTACTTCAAAGTCTTGATATATGTATAATATAATTTCAGTAGTACCCTTAAAATGCACGACCCTTTAACACCAGAGTGTTATATAATTACAACGCCCCGTATAACTTCTATGTCCCTCTGGCAGAGACCTTTTCAAAAAATATATAAAATTTGATAAACTATTGTTTCGACAATTCAGAAACAAAATTATGCATGCAATAAATCTCACAGGAACTATAATGGTACGAAAAATTGACATAAACCGTTTTTTGTTCCACAGTGTGATCCTTCAATAATGACGCAAGTGAAGATAATAAAAAATTGCACCCATCTCGTTTTAAGTAAATTTCTTATGAGAACCATCAGATTTCAATGATAATTTATTTTCGCAATGAACGTCAATTTCAAAACAAGCACTATCTGTGCGAAATTCGAGACATACTTCTTCCCAACATGTCGATCAGGCTGCTCTGTTCCGTGGATCCCACCCCGGCCCTTCGTCCCAGCGCGTCCAGCAGGAGCAGTTCCTGGGCTTGTCGTTCGTTGGGCAACGTCCTCGCGCGCTCTAGTACCATCACCAGCACAAGCACCAGCACTCCGCGTCCCATGTTCACGGCACAGCACTCACCTCCTTACTAAGAACATGTGGAGCACAACTTTCCAACATCGGAAGTACTAAGCGTACTGAAGACGCAGCGAAGATCCGACACGGATGGCATGTAGTGCACTTACAGTAAGTGAAAGCTGTTGGGGTTTTGTCCCATTATCGCGATTCCGGCTCTGATTATCAGTAATGGGATTTAAAGGGTCGCAGAATGGACTTAAATTGGCTTAGTACCATTACAAGCCGGACTGGCCCTAGGCGAGGTCTTCCGACGAGTACTTGCTTTCTTGATGGTGTTTGCATTTTATGCAGTGAAAGCTTTGCTTTGTTTGTTTAGTTAATTCAGTTTCTTTCACTTTTACCGCTGAGCCAGTTAGTACTGAAAGCGTATAGCGGAACGTCTTTGGAGACAATGTCATTGATTGACGATGATCAGGATGATTGCTGTTTTTCCCAATTTCCGCAACGGTTGTTTGCAAACAGGAAGGAAGACGTAGCTTCACATGTTAAATTACCGAGCTTGGAATACCTGCTGCTGGCGTGGTCGACGAAACTGATCGTTATCGGAATTATAAATTTTGTAACTGTATACTGAAACAAGGATGAATTGCGAAAGCTTGCATAACTTACGAAAATGGAGGGTTCTATCGAAAAAGTGAAGTTGTGCCACTGAAAACTAAAATTGTTTATTGAACAGAAGCTGAAGAACTTTTGCACTTGTTGAATGATACCGTAACGGTGAATACGGGTGTCGTGGGAATGCTGGCTTTTATTGAAGAAACTTGAACTGAACTCGAATTGAATTATAAAACTTTGTCATTTTTATTTTATGTAAATTTTCTATGTTCGATTTTCACTTATTTAGATATATAAAAGCGGGAGGAAAGTTGTCTGGAAAGATGTTCTTACGCTTCAGTGAAAAAGTCTGAGTGGTTGTACTGGTAAATGGATTTCTCAGGATGGAAAATTAAGCGAACAATTTCCATTCTTCACATTATTGTTAATTTTCCTTAAAAAATCTAATTATTGTATTAAAGAAATTTCATTGTATTATTTACATTCGAACAATTTGAAAAAAATCATTTATCATATTAGAGCACTTTCACATTTTCAATGGAAGAAATTTAACAGTGACATTTAGAATTAAGAGAAATTATAAAAATAACTACGTATATATCACTGCACACCAACTATGTACAGTCTCTAAGTATGAAACTTATCAATTTGGCGTGTTGTCAAAATTATGTTGACAATTTTTTTGTAATTACAGCACTATTTTTGTCACATATTTTAAAACTCAAATTAACCAATAATAAACGGAGATTACTTGCTAATTACGGTAAATTATGAAAAAAAAAATTCTATAATTAAATCGCAACATTTTCAATAGACATAAGAGGCATTTCTGTAAAAACTTGTTAAATTTAAAGAGTGTTAAATTGCAAGTTTCCATAGTAACGAGTTAAACTCCTAAAAATGATTGGCTGATTATTTTTTAACAACCTTTAAATAGTAACAGGTTTGATTCAGAATTGCCTCTATGGTGTTCTTATGACGTCATCAATATGTTTTCTAACAATTAACCTTATTTTGTCGACGTATATTTTAGAAAAATAGAAAAACGTAATGAATATGTACTCCATTATTACTTCCACTGTCTATTTAAGCTTTATTAGACAAACATATTTAAAATTAGGTCAGAGTTTATTAATTAATTAATTTCTTTTTCTTTTTCTTTTTGTTAAATATATAGAGTTTTCTTGCAAAAGAAAACTTCATATATTAAGAAAAAATTGACCAAATGTAAGCCCCGCCCACCCATCCCTCTTCAATTGCGATGAACGCTTTATTCATCGTGAGCTCAAGGGCGGAGTTTAGTTGCGACATTCTCATTTATGTACAACAAATTACCATATCAAATATGTTTTTAAAAGGGTAGAATTTTCTAGAAATATGTTACAATTACACTCCGCTCCTCCTCTGATTAGGAATGAAAATCTGATCACAATTAAAATTGGGGCGGGTGGGGGGCGGGGGGCTTAATCTTTGTTTTTTTTTTGTTTATATATATAGTTTTCTTTCAACAATTTTTTACCGCAAAGAACAAGAGATATTATAATAAAAAACATAAAGTCAATCTATTATTCAATAATTTTGGACTGTACTCCTAATGTAAGTGACGTAGAATAACTTGTACTTTCTCGTTTTTCTCGAAAAACTGAAGAAATGAAAAACTGAAAAATCTAAAAATTGAAAACTCGTGAAATTTCAAATTGAAAAACTGCAAAATCTAAAATTAAAACGTCCAAAAGTTGGAATATCCGAAAACTGGAAAATTCAAAAATGAAAACTCGAAGAGATATCGCAAAATTAAAGGAAAAATAAAACGACAATTTAAAAAAAAGTGAAATTGAAAAAACAAAAAATTATAAAATCGGAACATTGAAAAATTGTAAAAATAAAGATAATAAAAAACTCAAACGAAAAATTGCAAATGGAAAAATTAAAAATTGAAAACTCGAGAAACTTAAATCGAAAAATTGCAACATCTAGAAATTGAATTGAAAAGTTGAAAAATTGAAAAATTAAATTTAAACTTAAAACATGAAAAATGAAGGAACAAAAAAAAAGAAAATTTGGAGAGAAAAATCAAGTCAAGTAAGCTGCGGGAACGTTTTTACACCATGTGTTTTTACTTCATAGAGGTTATCAGAAAACAAAAATCGCAAAAAAATGATATTTTTTGAGAGAAATTTATTAATTCTGTTAAAATAACCTTCGACCAATTTTTTAATAATGTGAAACCTTCTTAGGGGTGCCAACTGTCTTTTTTAAAAATGTAAAACCTCCTCGGGGACGCCAAATGTATTATTTTAAAGAATGTGAAACGTTCTCGGGGATCCCAACTGTCGTTTTTAAAAATGTAAAACCTTCTGGGGGGCGGCAAATATCTTTTTTAGGAATGTGAAACCTTCTCAAGAGTCCCAACTGTTCTTTCTTAAAGAAGACGAAACTAAACCTTCTCGGGGGCCCCAAATTTCTTTTTTTAAGAATATTAAATCTTATCGGGGCTCCCAAGTATCTTTTTTTTTTAGAAGGTAAAACCTTTTTTTATTACACTGTGACTAATACTTATTGTATTGGTTTACTCCATTAAGGTTCACGAAAAAGTAAATTCTGCAAAATCAATTTTTTTTATTTTTCAGAGAAGCAGTATTTGTTGGACTGTACTTCAGACGCGAGGGAAGTTTTCTTGGCATAACTTTGGAGCAATTTTTTTTCTTGCATTGGTATGACTACTTTTCTTTTGTCTTGTGACTAATACTATTATCCATGTTGATGACGTCATCACAAATTTTTTATTGGTCAAATTAAGAACGAGTCATCCCGTTTTCTCGAAAATGTGAAGAATACGCACGTCTTTATATAATAATGGTAAAATAAGAACTATAATATTATTATTATTAATAATTTTAGTCCTGTTTTGAGAAGACAAAGTCAGACAAGCTGATTTCTACGTGACATTCTTTCGAAATATAAACATAAATAACCTATTATTATTGCTGAAGAGCAAGGGGTGTTATTTATGCCCCTGGTTTTTACTTTATAGCGGCTATCACCAAACGAAAATCGTAAAATCAAATTTTATATTGTTTTAAGGAGCAGAATTTGTCGGATTGTACTTATAGCCATCGACCAATTTTTTATTGATCAAACGAAAAACCTAATTTTTTAGATTTGCTTATACACGGTCACTCAAAAAAATTAATGAATCAGTCAATTTATTTTATTATAGATCACGAATTGCAAAACTGAATACTTTGAAATCTTGCAGACGTTTTAAAGTTATTGTAAGCATAGAAAATTGTTAATCAAAATATATCTGTTTATTCCCCCAAAAAATTGATAACGTCATCTCAAAATTTTCCCGAATCAATTCTGCCCAAAATGTGCAAATTATGATGAATTTTTACTTGTGATTTTATCATTGCATTCATATTTTTTAGATTTGCTTAAACAGGTGGCTCAAAAAAATTAATGATTGAGTGAATTTTTTCCATTAAATCAATCCATTTTCACAGAAAATTTTGGAAGTACAATACTGTTATTTTTAGTATCAGACTGTACCAATCCAAGTTGATATACGTGTCCTTGCAAAAACGTTGATGACGTCATCGCAAAATTGTGTAAAGAAAAAACTCGACTTGAAAATGCTGGATATATTTAAGCATTATAAAATTTTAATCACAATATATTTACATATCCCCTCCAAAAAATTTATGATGTCAGCTCAAAAGTGTGCCGAATAAATCCTATCTAAAATGTGCAAAATATGATGAGTCTGTAGTTGTGATTTATCATCCCATTCATATTTTTTGGATGTGTATATAATATACAGGGTGACTAAAAACAATTAATGAATGCGTGAATTTATTTTATTGATTTGAGCAGGGACTAAAAAAGCGAATGCTTTTAAATCTTGGAGATGTTTTCAAGTTATCATAGGCATCGTAAATTTTTGATCAAATTGTATTTGCTCATCCCCCTGAGAATTTGATGCGCCACCCCAAAATTTTTCTGAAAAAATTCTTTCGAATATGTGCAAAATAGATCAGAATATACTTGTAACTTATCATTGCATTCATATTTTTTAGATTTGCCTATACAGGTGACCAAAAAAAATTAATGAATCAGTCAATTTATTAAAAAAGTGGAACCAGAAGCGAGGGAAGTTCTGTCGAAATAACTTTCGACCAATTTTTTTAATTGTTGCAATTTTCAGATATCGATATTTCGGTTTTTTTTAATGGAACACCGTTTTCATGTTCTATTTTTTGTTTTTTCTTTCTTTGCCAAGTTTGTTCTATATTTAAAGTTGATACATTACTATTTTTTTATACTTTCTTGTAGTCACTGTGTAACTAAAAAGTTAAAGTCTAAATTGGTCTTAAAAAATATTGACAAAAATAGGCTGCTGGAAGTCCCTTGTCAGCTAATTTTTGTCATCACATAGTCAAAAAAAAAATCCTTCACAAGCGAAAAACAGAAATTTATATCTGAATAAAATTCCAAGGCAAAATTATATTCTTAAAACAAAAGTTTTAATGTTATCTCTCTCACTGTGATATTAACTTGCATTCATTTAAGGGTTCATGGATATGTACTTGAAATAGAAACACTTATTAAATAAAATTGGTCGAAAGTCATTTCGACAGATCTTCCCTAGTTCCTAAAGTACAATCCAACAAACCCCAAATTGTAAAATTTGATTTTGCATTTTTTTGTGATAACCTCTATAAATTAAAAAAAAAAGGTGGACGAGAATGGGATTTGAATTAATTCATTCAAGCCAAGCTCCAATAGGTAGTTGCTGAAACTCTATGCTACTAAGAATTGATTGTCATTATGTGTGCGGCAAATATTACACAAACATTTTTGTAAAATAATTGTGAGTAAAAGTCAAGGCGGATTTATGAACC